GGGGAAGGGTGGGCATACTTCTGTATCGATCTCAGCTGATTCCACATCAATATTATGATAAACGCAAAGTGAAGAAAATATGTAGTGCGATGACTACAAGTCCAACAGCTAATACAGCAATTCCAAACGAAATCACATAATACAATCAGAACACTGCCCACAAAAAAAAAAGCTAAAAATTTAATCCACTTTAAAGTGTGAGAGAGAGAGAAAGATCAAAACTCAGCCTAGACTGACAGTTATTTACTTTATTTCTTGGCTTTGCCTACCACCCAAAAAACAAACCAAAAACAAAACACTTTTTTGGCAACGGGACCTTAAACATATTTTATTAAGATTCATATTGACAAATAAATAGAACCAAAAAACAATCTACTTCTTTTCAGCTTTAAAGAATCAAAAGTGGATACTAGAGACACCAATTTGGCTTCAATATGCTTTTGTTTTTTGATTTTGTAGCTTAAATTTTGTGGTTCGCAGAACTAGTAATGAAACTGCCTTAGTATTGCAGCACAACTTAACTAGGGCCCCTCTGCAAGGTCAGAAGATACTAGAGACACCAGTCGGTGTGATCACCCTGATGTACAAATTTAGCCGCAAGAACAACGGTAATAACCGTATTTTATACTTAAATTTGGTCAAAAGATATGCGTGGCGCAATCCTGAAATTAGTCTGGTAGATACCTTATGTGGTCTGTTAGGATGACCGACACTTGATGGCTAGCTCTGATACCAAATTGAAGCAATTCAACTTACACTGGGGGGTTCTAATTGCAAGGATTTGAATTCCAAATTTCCTGCCCTGATACTAAGTTAAAGTATATTGGATTACCACTATTCTAAAAAGCTTTAACTATTAAGTGAAAAATGAAACTGGTATACAATGCTATACTGAGCACCTAGACCTAAAATGTATGAGAATCTCCACTAGCACCACAAAACTGGTTCGAACTTTCTTTTAAAACTACGTATGGGATCAACTCAAAATACACATAAGTAATATGTGCTACACGATGAAGAACAAAAAGAAATAAGTCCTCACAATCGCCTTAAATAAAACTTCCTTTTTTTTGACTGGTCCCTCAGTGATGACAGTTCCCTTAGCCACATCCAGTCCCAAATCTTTCAATGCATTCATCTGTCCTCATTTAAACAAAGGTACTGTTGGAAGTTAATCTGATCCAGCCTCTTTAGTATTCTATTTTTAATTTAAGCAACTTAGTTGTAAAAGCTAACGGCTAGTTTTTTTTTGTGTTTTTTATTTTTAAATATCCTTGTTCGTTGTGTAAAGCTATCTCACATTGGACACATGTATGTCTCAGATTAGAAGTGAGGTGTATGACTTAGATGAACAATAGCACAACTGTAATTTGAAGGACAATGTACCTGAGGTTGTAGCTAGATAAGGATGAATGTAAGGGAATGAATCAATCAATGAAATCACCTAGAGGAGCAGCTATGATTTGCTTACTCTAAAATTCTCTGAAATTCTTTTTGTTCTTTACCTTTTTCTTTCATAAGTTTTTACCAAAAATCCATCATGGCCTCAGAGCCTGGTTTCGATCTATGAACTAGGAGTCTATAAAGCTGTGAACTTTAGGGAATTTCCAACGAGAAAAACCTTAGAAATCGATTTTTTCCTTGGGAGCAATGGCTAGAACAGCTAGCAATGACCTAAAAGCTCCAATCTTTCAAGCTGAAAACTATGACTTTTGGAGAATAAGGATGATAACCATTCTCAAGTCTCATGATCTTTGAGGTTTGGTGGACAAGGGGTATGTAACTCCAGCTGTGAAAGAAACTCTCACGAAGGATGCTAAAGCTCTTGGCTTTATTTAGGGTGCAGTTTCCGACATCATATTTCCGAGGATTGCGAATGAAGAAACATACAAAGGAGCATGAGAGATTCTTCAAGAGGAATACAGGGGTGATAAAAAGGTTAGAAGAATGAAACTTACCTCTCTTAGACATGAATTTGAGTACACTAGGATGAGGGAAATTGAACCACTTAAGGATTATCTTGTTAGACTGTTTGATATTGTGAATCAAATGAAGAACTATGGTGAAGAACTCACAAATCAAAGATTAGTGCAAAAGCTACTCATTAATCTAACAAAGTCTTATGATAACATTGTGTCACTTATTGAAGAAACTAAGGATACAGATGTAATCAATGTTCAAGAAGTGACTGCATCATTAAGAGTAGTTGAGCAAAGGCTAGAAATGCATGCAGTAGATGATATGGCCACTAATAGGACCTTTCAATCACTTAATATTGGTGAGAAGAACTATAACCATAGTGGACAGTCAAGTAACAATCAAAAGGAGAAGAAACCATGGAAAGGGAAAAACAAGAAATGGGAGAACAAGGGTGGTAGTCCTACAAAACTAAATACCATTAAGGGAACACAAAAAATAGCTTGCAATATATGTGATAAATTGCATTATGGTGCTTACTGGATCAAGGGGAAACCTAACTGTCACAAATGTGAAAGGTTTGGTCATCTGGCTAAAGATTGCAACAGTGGTAGAAGAAACTAACCGGTGCAATATGCAAACCAAGTTGATGAAGAAGAGGCTAATGTGTTCTTTGCATGTAAAGCTGCAACAATAGAAGGAAAGGAGAGTGTGGTATATAGACAGTGGTTGTAGCAACCACATGACAGCACACAGGTCTCTTCTCATTGTGTAATACCCTGAAAAATTTAAATATATAAATTAATTATTTATGTTTATGAATATGTGAAGGAAATAGGAAAATAAATCAATAAATGGTTAAGGAAATTTCAGTGGGAAAAATGTGAAAATCCATTCTTGGATTTGAATATTAAAATAAGTATTTTGTAGTTGTATTCATAATTACGACGTATTTATAATTACAGCGGATATTTGTATCGATAAGTTAAAAAGACTAAAATGCCCTAGTTGGCTTAACGTAATTATACGAGGACGTATTTTATCCTCATATATTTTATCGTATTTCTTGATATATTTGGATAGAACTCAACCTCACGAGCGTGTAGGCGCAAACCGTTCATGAAACGGAATTATAACGAAAGAGTTATTAACGTTTGAAGTTAAGGATATTTTTGTAAATTTAATCTTCACTTTAGAAGGCACCAAAAAATTTGGAGCAATGGGTTGTGCCACGTGTGTAGCTAGGATGAAGGGAAAGGAAGAGAGATGAGAGAGATGAACGGCTGAGATGAAAAACAGAGAAGAGAAATGAGAGAAAAAGAGGGGGGAACTGCCCAATGAAAAGAGGGAAAAGAGGGGAAATGAGAGAGGGAGAAAAAGAGAAACGGGCTGACCTGTATACCTCATTGGACCTGGTTTCGATCTGGTATATTTCTCGGTGAAATTCGTCAATTTTCTGACTGATTGACATGATTTACCACCACCAATCATTATATCGTTGCTCCCTCTTCAATTTTCCACCTAAAGTCGACCTAATTTGGTCATGTTTCGCGACGAGGTGGTGTCGTGGGTGTCCGAAGCCACGACGTCGATTCCGCCGTTTCTGAAACAAATTTTGTCAACGACCACCACCAATAAACTCCTCTCAACCCTAAGAATGAAGGCCAAGCACTGGTTAGGGCGTCGAAACTGTTTTGGAGTCAAATCAAGAACACCCAATTTAAGGGTTTCTGGCGTGTTTGAGTAAAATTAGGGCTTTTCCCGGCCGAATTGGACCTCGGTCCAGGTATGAAAAATGTTCCTCTCCTTGAGTTGTACATTCCTGAAAATTTTGGTAATTTTTTGTTATAGTTGAAATTTTCGAGGAGTAGGGGCGGCCGTCCGCCACCCGTGGCATCGCGTGTGGCGGCACATAGCCAATGAGTCGACATTGGATTTTTATGTGAATTTCGTTATTCCAATTATGTTTTGGTATCTATTTGACGTGTAGCAATTATTAATGTCACACCCCGTCCCGAAGGAGGGCATGCTGGCCGTCACGTGAGAGTGACGTAACCATTTACACAGTTCGAAAGCTTTAAAATATACAACTTCTAAGATGAACCACCCGAAGGTGAGTCCTCATTTGATCCATTCTGTCAGAACACCGTTGAATTTCCTCGTAGTCACCACACCTTTGCAATTCTTGAACTTGGAGGGGCGCAAAACCAAAATTTAGTGGGTCAGTAAAACAATTCTTTTCCAAATCCAAACACTTCTCAAAACTTTGTAACCCCTCTTCGTAAAACCTATATACTTTTCTAGAAAATAAACATATATACGTATGTATAGATATGTCAATCAAGCTCAAGGGTATGCCAATCACACTCACAGGTATGCCAATCATACTCACAGGTATGCCAATCACACTCACAGGTATGCCAATCAAAGCCTCATAATGATATGCAAGTGCTCAGGTATAAACCATATCAATAACATGTTACTGGCAGCCGGAGTCACCTAAAGTGACCTGTACGGCTGAATCTAGAGCTCAAATCTCAATCTCAATAACTAAACAACTGAACCTGACCACGATGTCGGAACCACCTAAAGTGGTCTGTACAACAAGGCTGGGTGTGACGTATATATATACGTTCTAGTGCTACGATCACGTGAAGCTAGGCGGATAATCGCGGTCACCTTCGAGTCGGAACCACCTAATGTGGTCTGTACGACAGGCTATGCACCTAGCTTGGATCCAAGCTGAGCATAAGGTGTGGGGAGGTGAACATCACGTGAAGGCTGGGCCCTGCTCAAGGCGGGAGCACTCACACTGGGGGTGCAGGTTCTGAGCTCGCTATCACATCTCTATCATATCATTCTTCATATCTCAATCATATCTCATGATCGTTATCAGCATAATATCTCAATTATATCTCAATCATATTTCAATCATATCACACTCATATTTCATTTGTATTTCCATAATATTTCAATCGTATTCCAAACGTATTTCATACGTATATCAAATGTATATCAAATGTAGCTTACCTGGGCCTCCTCAGCACCATGCAACAGTATGCATAATTATGGTAATGCACATATTAAAATACGATGCATATATGACAGGATATTCAATTCGTATTTCTTTTAAAATACGTTTTTTGGGAAATACGTCAAGCATACGTATATATACGAAAACAAAACTGCCCACTCACAGATCACATCAACGTCTCGTAGGTCCCTGAGCCTCCCCTAGATTGGTTACATTCTTCTTCTGTATAATTTTCACCTATACACAAAGTAACCAAATTGACGTTATTTAACGCACATACACCAAACATTCGTCAATAATTTTCTCATACGTTGCTCAATTTGGGTATGTGAATATACCACGGTGATCTACACGACGTCACGAACACGTGACAATTTTTAGAACTCAATTTGGAGCTCTCACGCGCCCTGTCTACGCGCTGCCCACGCGCGCGTCTTCTTCCTCGCGTCGCCGGACTGGTTTCGCCGGAGATGGGTGTTTTGCCGGAATTTCTGGGGAAATTTCAAAGTGTCATAACTTCTTCATTTCTTAACCATTTTCGACGTTCTTTATATCAAAATGAAGGTATTGACGAGACGAACACATCCATACCTATCTCGACCTCTAACTCGCCGTGGATTCGCCGGAAAAAGCCTCGAAAGCTCCGGCCAAACTTTGAACGTGTCATTCTCCTTGTTCTTACGTCCATTTTTCACGTAATCTATACCAAAATGAAGCCCTAATCATAATCTACCACGTTGGACTAGTTTTAGGGCCTAAAAACAACGGAATCAAACTTTTCCAAAAATACGAAAATTCGGCCAAACTTACAGTTCGTGATCCCAACGTCCAAATCCTTCAAACGAAGCACTCCGAGCTTCCTTAGGACCTCACCAAGCTTCCTACAAGCTTCAAAATCCCAAAAACATCAAGTTTTACGTGTGCATGAACAGTGCACACGCACAGTGAAATTGAAATCCATGTTTTCCGAAGTGAAACTCACCTGAAATTGGTACCATCGTGTTCGTGTGGTCCTCAGGAGTACGATGGTGGTCTTAGATCCTTCGTTGGTATAGTTTTAGGGTGGTTTTGTGGGTGGTCCGTGTGAGTTCGAAGGAGAGAGAGAGAACTGACAGAGAGAATGAGAGGTTTGTGAGGGAGGAGAGAGAGAAAGACAAGATGCAGAAATGGGGGAGAGATTTGAGGAATGTGGGATCCTACCCAATCCCCAAATCATCAAGTTATAACATATTTTACGCCCCTTAGTCCCGTTTAAGGGCATTTTCATAACTTCACGTCCTCGGAATTAAAATTCCGGGACGGGTTGTGACAATTAATACAAATGTTGGATTTTTTTTATTTTTTATTAATTGAATATTTTTGGAATTGGTTTGAAATTGAAATGTGAACTACGGAAGGCTTGATCTCTTTCAAGGGTACGTAGGCAGTCTAACAGGGTTATATGCAGCCTTAATAATCGAGAATTAATTCTTTAGTTAGAAAATTTGATCTAAGAGAATAAAATGGTGATAATTTGAAAATAAAATCGTATGTGTGGATAAAAGAATTATGGTTATAAATCATGTGTGGGATTAAGGAATTTAATTAAAGAATCGCAATCAATGGTAGTTAAATAAACAAGAATTTAGTTTGGGTCTATCACCGTTATTATTTTTTCTGAAATAAATATTTTGGGGCGGGGCGTTGCATATTGATTTGGATATAACCTTTACTGGCAGAGTTAAAATGGGGAATGGATACATAGTGGATATTGTTGGTACAGGAACCCTGAGACACTGAGAAAGGGAAAAGATACATCAGAGAAGTGATGTTGGTACCTAGCTTGGAAGAAAACCTACTCAATGTAGGACAGATGATGGAACATGGGTATTTCTTGCTTTTTGGTGATGATGTGGCTGAAATCTATGATGACAAGACCCTGTAGAATCTTGTCTCCAAGGTTGAAATGAAGAAAACAAAAGCTTTCCCTTATTGATGAGATTTCTTGAGAATCTTGCAATGAAGGCAATAGTGAATGAGTCTTCTATGGCACAAGAGACTAGGCCATCTTAACTTTCAAATTTTGAAAACTCTGCAGAACCAACAAATGGTTCTTAGCCTACCTGAAATCAAAGAAACTAGTGAATTGTGTGAAGGATGTACCTTTGGAAAGCAACACATAAGCTCATTTCCAACTGGTCAAGCATGGAGAGCATCAGTGCCCTTGGAACTGATCCACAGTGAAATTTATGGTCCAATGAAGATTGCTACACTTGGTGGCAACAAATATTTTTTGATTTTGTAGATAACCATTCCAGGATGTGCTCAGTTTATATGTTGAGATAGAAATTAGAAGTATTCAGTGTTTAAAAAGTTTCAGATGCTTGTGGAAAGACAAACTGGAATGAAGATTAAAAGGTTGAGAAGTGATAGGGGATGAGAGTACACATCCTTGGAATTTGACAAGTTCTGTGAGAATATTAGACTAGAGAAGCAGTTGACAGTTGGGTATACTCCACAGCAAAATGGAGTAGCTGAGAGAAAGAACATGATAGTTGTGGAAATGGCTAGATCAATGTTGCATGATAAGATGATACCATACCATTTTTTGGGAAAAGCAGTTTGCACTACAGTCTATATACTTAACAGGTGTCCCACAAAAGCTGTTGACAACTAAACACATTTTGAAACTTATAATGGAAAAAAGCCATATGTGAAGCATTTAAAAGTGTTTGGTTCAATTTATTATGCTCATGTCTTTACTCAATTGAGACCTAAATTGGAGGAATGTAGTAACAAGTGTCTTTGTGGGATATGGAAGATGTGAAAAGGGTTATAAGCTTTTCAATTTCAAAACAAAGAAAGTGATGCTTTCTAAGGATGTAGTATTCAAAGAAAGTGCTAATTGGGATTGGGATAAACAAGTTGAATCAAATGTATACATCCCACTATCACTTGAAGATCAAGAGACAAATGCTGAGTTTGAAGGGGAGCATTTTAGTGAAAATGGCCCTGTAACACCAGTGCAATCTCCATCTGTGCAACATTCACAATTTCAGTCCTCTCAATCATCTCAATCTTCACATTCTCCACAAGAGAGTGGAAATGTACAGGTCTCAAGTTCTCAAGAATCCACCCCAAGTTCAACTCTTATAAAGATGAGAAATCTGAATAAGATATATGCAACTTGTTTTTTTTCTGTCAATTGGAACCAGAAGATTTCAATGAAGCTGTGAAGAAGGTTGCTTGGAAGAAAGCAATGCAGGATGAAATCACTATCATTAAGAAGAATGCCACTTGGGAACTAACTAAGAGACCAAGTGAGAAACCTGTTATAGGGGTAAAGTGGATTTACAAAACAAAATTGAACTTGGATGAATTTGTGCAAAAGAACAAGGCTAGGTTGATTGCAAAAGGCTACTCACAACAACCTAGGGTAGATTTCAATGAGACATTTGCCCCAGTTGCTAGATTAGACACCATTAGGACCCTTATTGCTCTTGTAGCACAAAAAGGGTGGAAATTACACCAATTAGTTGTCAAATCAGTTTTCCTAAATTGGATGTTGAAGGAGGAAGTCTAAGTAGAATAACCGAATGGCTTTATTGTCAAAGGTGCAAAAGATAAGGTCTGCAAGTTGAACAAAGCCTTATATGGCTTGAAACAAGCTCCCAAAGTTTGGTATGAAAAGATTGATTCTTACTTCACTAAGAACAATTTTTCTGGAAAGTCTCAGTGATGCTACCTTGTACACCAAGAAACAAGAAAACACAGGAACACTCATAGTATCTATCTATGTTGATGATGTTGTGTTCACTGGAGACAATGATCAAATGATTGAAGACTTTAAGCAAAATATGATGAAACAATGTGAAATGACCAGTTTTGGGTTGCTGCATCATTTTCTTGGAATTGGATTTGTTCAAATTGAAACTGGTATATTCATTCACTAGGGAAAATATGCAAAAAGTTTGCTGGAAAAGTTTGGACTTAAGGATTGTAAGCCTGTGAGTACACCTCTTGACTCAAATGCCAAGTTGTGTAAGGATGATGGTACTGAACCAGTAAACTCAAATCATTATAGAAGTATTGTGGGAAGTCTACTTTATCTAATAGCAACCAGACCTGATATTATGTTTATTGCTAGCCTCTTGTCAAGATTTATGCACTGTCCAACAAAGACTCATCTGGGAACACTAAAAAAGGTACTCAGATATATGCAAGGAACCATTGATTATGGTGTTTTCTAAGAAAAAGGAAAGTCAATAATCCTAATTGGATTTTGTGATAATGACTGGGGTGGCAGTGAGGATGATATGAAGAGCACATCGGGCTATGCCTTCACCTTTGGCTCAAGTGCATTCTTTTGGGCATTTATGAAGCAACAAAGTGTTGCTCTATCCACAGCTAAAGCTAAGTATGTCATTGCAACTGAAGCAATATCTCAGGCAACCTGGTTAAGGTTCATACTCAAGGATTTTGGTGAAATGCAAGTAGATTCAACACCAATTATGTGTGAGAACATGTCTGTTATTAATAATGACCAAAAATCATGTGTTCCATCACATTGGACACATTTATGTCTCAGATTAGAAGTGAGGTGTATGGCTTAGATGAATAATAGCATATCTGTAATTTGAAGGACAATGTACTTGAGGTTGTAGCTAGATAATGATGAATGTAAGGAATGAATCAATCAATGAAATCACCTAGAGGAGCAGCTATGATTTGCTTACCCTAAAATTCTCTAAAAACATTCTCCAAATTTCATTTTATTCTCCAATATGCAATCAATCATAAGCTTCTTTTTTTTTATTTTTTTAACAAAAAAAAATAAAAATCTATATGGTTAGTATGTCTGATTGTGGATTCAAAAGCAACCAATAAGAAAAATTCCTAGCTGAAATCTAAAATGTTAGACTGAAATTTTGGTTTAAAAGAATCTGCTTTAAGACACCTCTTTCAAAACTTATACAATATAAAAAACCAAGAGCCTCACAATCCATGTTATCCTAAAATAGAAAATAATAAAATTTCCAATAGCAACTTCACCATATCAATGAGTGCCCCAAGGCGATCGCCGAAGCTGAGTTGCACAATAGTTGCATCAAAATCTGAATCTTGATCGATCATAACAACTGCATCGAAAGATAATCAGCATCTTAATCAGACTTTTGCAATTTAAAACATCCATCAACTTGTTGGTAAATCATACAATCTCGTCAAACAATCAAAAGTCAGTCTAGATGTATTATTGTATTGTGAAGTAATTGTCCAACCCTAAAAGTTCTTAGATTTATTATGAACCACTCAAGGATAATGAAAATTTAGCATGCAAATAAAATATTGACAAAAGGACAACAAAAAATGGGTCCATCAGAGGTCTAAATAGGCGCCTTTCTGGGAAAAAATGC